TTAAAAACCGGATAACCCGGTCAACCGAAAACCAATGTTTTTAAAAACCGAAATATGCAATAAAAACCGGTTATTCGGTTAACCGGTTTATAAAGACTAACAGGGACTATGATCAGTTATAGATCAATCATCATCAAATTCGAATGAAGTATGTATTATGTTCCTTAAAGCCTTTTTACGTCGATTTTCATCGCTGTTCTCATACATTCTGAAGGTGGCTTTATATATGAAGGGTAGTTTCAATTGTGGACCGATCCTAGTAAAATTTGGTAGACCGATTCTGTTTTATATACATCCTGTTTATATCGAATTTCTTCACTGTGCTTATTTTAAGCCAGTAATGAGCGTTAAATTAACTTTCTGAAGGGTATATATGGGGGGTAGGAGATTTTGGGTCATATGAAACTTATTTATGTCGAATTTCGTCGCTATTTTCGTACTTTTAAAACAGTTAAGTCTGTTTAAGCTGTATTTTGGGGGGCCACTTGTATGGTGGCTATTTGGAAACTTCAATTTTCAATACCAAACACATTGCAGCAATAGGGCCAGGCTAGATCGTCTTAGAATTCAATAAGGACCCAGAATATATACATATACTTTTGTAACCAATATTTCGATGTGTTACAAACGGAATGACAAAATCAATATATATATACAAAATCAAAATATTATGATGGGTATAAAAACTAACAAATATGTTTAAACCAATAAATTAAAATAAATATATTCGTAAAGAGATCAAAATTCGAAAATTTATATCGAGAAGTGTCTTGAAAGCCCTTAAAATATTTTGTTCAATAATACCGTCGATCTGTGCCATTTTTGAAATAACCTCTTAAATCAATCAACAATTAAATAAAATTCTTTTTACAGGAAACTAATATGGGTTAAAATATTAAATTATTTATGAACGTACCGGGAACAACGATAATACTAAAATATTGTGTTTAGATTATTTTATGTTTATCATTTAACTGTATCAAGAATAACGATATTTTAAGTAAGTTGTCTAATAATTACTTTGTTCAAGGACTCTTTTAAAGAGTTCTGAGTGCACCAAAATTGTTCTATGGAAAGAACAATTCACAAAACTAGTTCCAGAGTCCTGAAAATATTTCTATTATTTCACCTAGCCCCCATGCAATTATGCTTCCCATATAGGAATTGACTTGAACGTCCTTAATTCCCTAATTTGTATGTTAGTTATCGGACTGTTAGTTAACAGACTTTATTTACTTTACCTAAATAATAGAAATAGGAACAGAAAAACACTTTCATTTAAAACACATAGAACCTACAATTTCAAAATAATAGAACAGACAATATATTTCACAATTTCAAGAAAATTAAAAAAAAAAATAAATTAAAACTATTTCAAAAAAATACTTTATAATTTCCTAAAAAAATATAAAGTTACAGTTAAATTTAGTGCAACCAAAGTTTATGAAAAAGCACTGGCACTAACTCGATATTTTTAAAAGCACTAAAAACAGTACTAAAAGCATTAAGTTGACAACGATGATTGTACTTTTATTCCGCTCTCTAGCGATCTTCTCATTGTTCTATTATTTTTATGTTATAGCGTTGTCATATTTTGCTAAAAATCATGCAAAATTGCAAAAACTGGGTTGTTATAATGCGCATTTTTCATGTTTTATTATTAATGGAAGATATTAAATGAAATGAAATAAATATAAATTAAAATGAGAAAACATATTATATCTGTTGCCGTATTTTATTCTGAATAATTTATTCATATATATTATTATTTCTTAAAAAATAATAATAATTTTAAATAAAAGATCATTTTGCATTGATTTTTTGTGGTCAGTCGACAGTCGCTTAATTTTAATTCGTCGCTTGCACTTTTTATGTGGTTTGTCGACAGCGGTTCCAATTGTAATTACATACATTTTTTTTTAATACGGATGGAATTTCATTTGATGTTTTATACGATATATATATATATATATATATATATATATATATATATATATATATATATAGAACTTTATGTTCTATATCGATGCGATAATACAACCTCCTTCAATGAACGCCCAAATTAGACCGATTCTATAAACACATAGACAGCAGCAGGCGGCACAGCAACATGACTGCTGTTAGCAGTAATGTTTGTTGAAATCAATTTTCTGAAGACCCATAACTTCAACAATTTCGTCAGACATGCTTTCCTATTTTAAATTAGCAAAATCAGCAACGGAGATATGAGCAAAAAAACCAAGACGACCTCTGAAAATTTTGTAAAAAATTAGAATTTTTTGCAGAAGACTCAAGAAAACAACATGAAGCTTTATATGGTATATCTTACAAGAACAACATACAACTTAATTTGCTTATTTATAAAAAGAAATAACGTTACGTATGAGGCGTAATGTTGTTATCGCCAAAATCAGGGATGGAAAATTGTGTGGGAAATGTTGTTGGCAGCAATGTTCTTTTGACGCCCCAAAAAAATAAAAATTAGTCCATGGAGGCAGCAACAGCTAATGCAATACTGCTGTCAAAATTTATTCTTATAAGAACCTGTGTATTTTATTTTTAACAAATCTTCACCTTTTGTTATCTGCTCTGCCTGCCTGTTCGTCTATATAAACCTCTCAATTAAATTACATCAATTTGATAAAATATTGAAAATACTCCTCCTTTACCCAGCGGTTAATATGAATTCATTATTTCGCCTGCACTCAAATAACCGAAACTACCAATTTGGCCTTTTTAGCTCATAATTATCAAATATACTAGTATCTCGCAAAAAACGGCAAATTTCAGAAAATCAGATCTTCGTCAATAAATTGCATAAAAAATAATGTATTAGTAATTTGGTTCCTAATTTTTAGAACCTTTTAATATATCATCTCTAAATTTAACATTACAAAGCAATATATTTATATATCACATTAAACTAAGGAAAATAATTTCCGGGAATTTCCGCACAATTTCCATGAAAAACACTATTGGGTAGTTGTTTTATTTCTATTCAGCTATCACAGCGTAAAGATCGTGTGCGACTACTCTTACACATGAATAAGTGTTGCTATTTGCAATAATATTTTTTTTAAATGTACATATTTCAATTAATTAAAAAATGAGTTGAAATTATATTGGCGCCAAAACAAAAATTTGGAGTAACGGTATCTTAGAATCAATTAAACTTTAATCTTAGTTGGGAACATTGACACTTTATATTTCCTTTATAGAAATGGGACCACCCTAATGTACATAGGGTGTACATTAGGGATATAACTAATTTGGCGAAATTTTTGGCATATCACCACGTGATTGCCAATGTTGTATAAGTAATGAAAATAATTTTTTTAGGTTATTTGGAATCAAAAACATCACGCACCAACCCCAATCTTAATATAAACCAATTATTTTTCAAGTTTTTCTTTTTATTATTTTAAAATTTAAATATTTATATAGGGTAATTTTTTCCAAAAAATTATACTTTTGTCATATCGCGACTCATTACTGCCTATATCTCTGAACTTTTTGATTTTTACGCAAATATACAATTTGACATCCCTTAATCAAAAAGTCCCCAGGAAAAAGTAATAAGTTAAAAAGCTAATAAAACCTCTTTTCACTACTTCTTCAATAGCATTTTAAGTCATTATTTTAACACGGTGGTGTCATTGGAGGCAAGTATTTCCACGCTCGCTTACAAATAGGGAGTTAAAGAAGTACTTGCAATTTCTTTTACAAAGAAGTTGTTTAGTAAGTTGTTTTATTTTTTAATAAAAAAAAGCTAGAACACGAACCAGGGACATCGGTTTGTTAGTCAATTGTTCTACTCACTGCACTACTGCTATTTTATTGCGCGTCAAATAATGGTTTTCACATACAAATTTTCTTTTTTGTAAAACACAATTCTTAAAACGTGAATAAAATTAAATTAAATAAAACAAATGTCAATAGTTATATCCCTAGTGTATGTATGTATGTATGTATGTATGTATGTATGTATGTATGTATGTATGTATGTATGTATGTATGTATGTATGTATGTATGTATGTATGTATGTATGTATGTATGTATGTATGTATGGATGTATGTATGTATGGATGTATGGATGTATGTATGTATGTATATATGTATGTATGTATGGAGAAACAATAAGGAGCCGACCCCACTGAAAATTTAAGCTTGGTTCATTCTAAGAAACCATTTCTCAAATTGTTTGTCCAATGAAATCATAAAGAGTTATATATACTTATGTTCATATATAAATTAAAAAGTTATGAAATTACGCGTATAATGATTTATTGAAATATTGACGTCAGGGCAAAAATTATAAGAACTGGTATCTCAGTAACTTCCATTTTTGGGAACATTGGCCATCACGTTGTGGTATGCCAAAATTTGTTATATCCCTAATGTACATATGTATATCCATCCAAAACAAATCTATTATTTATGCACATGTCTAATTTATATTTAAATATATTAAGTCAATTAAACAACATATCAGACAGATTTTGTCATTATTTTTGCATCTTACAATTAAATTCGACGTCACAAAATTAAATTTCTAATAAATAAACAAGTATAAAGAGAATGAAATAAATAAATTAAAACGAAAGCAAAAAATAATAATTGTATTAGTTGTGATGCTGTTGCCAAAAAAGAAATTCCTCAATAACAAGATTTCTATTTTTTATTTGTTTGTCATTTTCATTCATTTAAAGCGATCTTCGAGCGCGTTCAAGTTTAATGTCATTCGATGTATGTATGTAAATGTCTACATATGTATGTATGTATGTACAATGTACATACATAAATCGAATGTAAATGGGAATGTCTGAACGTGTGAGTGGGTATTTATTTTATTTTGTAAAAAGTGGCAAAATTTTAAAATAAAATTTCGTAGTTCCTTTTTAAATTTATTTAATCATCACTTCAAATTAATTATGAAATTGCACCAATATGTCTTTTAACATATTTTGAGTAGTTCCTATTTTGTACCAGATCTTCATACCTACATACATATGTGGGTAGTCGTAATCATAATCGTAGCTTTTTTAATATATATTTTTGTATTACATAACAGAATCTTCTTTTAATGATAACATATGATTATTAATTTAGTTAACATTTATTATTTACAACTATTTTTTCTAAATATATTTTCAATAATCACTTTTTCAGAAATGTAAGGATTCTATTTAAGGCATTAACTTAATTTCACAAATAAATGTATTTCATTACACGCAATTCTACAAAGCGTCGTGTATATTTATTATTTATTTCACTTTTTAACTTTTTACATAGAATATCTACTAGATATATTATATAGACGTATATATAGTATTTAAAATTGATACACTTTTAGATTTTAGTTCTATGAACAGACACGTATTTAGATCACGAAACAATCCGTTATGACAAAAAGTTTGATGAGAACTAAAAGGGGTTTTTGAATAAAACGGAAATGTACTATTGGCGAAATTCTGTAACGGACACATTTACATGTATACAGTGATAATAAAATATAAATTTAAAGGTACAGAAAAATATATGTAATTACAGTGTCTCACATAAGTTTCTTATTTTTAAATTCGATTATAGTATTATTTAAATAAATTCAAAATTATTGAAATTTGTTACCCATAATGTTTAAGAGGCAGTTATTTAACAATGATAAAACGTGTAAAAATGTTAGCTCTCTTAGATAGGACCGTTTACGTTTTAGGTGACGATATGTAGTTGTAAAGAGTTTAAGTGTTGCCAGAAGTTCCTTTAAGTTCATCGACTAAAAAGTAGATACAAATTTTTAAAAAAGAAAAATAAAGAATTTAATATCTATAAAAACTAATTTTACATTTGTATAATAATTAATTTATGTTATTTCTTGGATTTTTGAACTCATGACATTTCTATGTTTTTCTCTCTGAGAACATAGACCTTCAATTTGGTCGCAAAGTTCTGTTCACAATTAGTGTATATTAGCACTTATGACTTACAACTTGATTATGAATTGAACGAGTGAATTTTTTATTCTTAAAAAAATTGAATATTTCAAATAGTTGTGTTCTACACTGTATGTATCTGAATACATATGAACGTGTAAATGTTGACAAACCTTGCCAACCCAATTGCATTATTTGTATGTGTGATGTTGGACGTATTCATCAAGATTTGTAAATTGGCTCAAACTGTGGGAACATTTTTGTTTTCTTGGTCATTGACAACGTAATATGTATGTACATAGTACATACATACATACATACATATGCATCAGTTAATGTAAATAACAATGTTTTTTTATATAGTATATCTTTTGATGTCGTGTAGATATATTGTACTATTTCGTCAATCTTTTCATAAACAAACGTACAGATGTACCTAAGGATGAACCCAAACAATTATTGTTAATATTATCAACTAAAATTAAAGGTATTTCTAACCATTTTCATAGTTAAGTAATGTTGTATAGGGCATCGCATGTCAAGGCTTCGGAAACCAGCGTAAACGTTATCCGTTTGGACAAAAAATTAACACCATGTGAAAATCTGTCCCCTTAACGTCTCCTCCAGAAAATGACCCTAATAAAATGCTAATAAGAAATTACACTACGGCATTATTTTATACTCATAAGGAGTCTAGTAATGACCTTCTTTTAGTATGATATAGAAGTACTTTATTTTAGGCTTTGTTATTTTGTTTGCAGATTTTATTTGATTGCGAATTAAGAATTGTGTTTTACAAAAAATAAAATAAAATTGAATTTGTATGTGAAAACTATTATTGACGCGCAATAAAATAACTAAACAGTGGTGCATTTGACAATATTCCGCCCATCAAAAATGATGGGCGGTATATTAATTTTGTCATTTCGTTTGTAACACATGGTATATATATTCTGGGTCCTTGTTAAATTCTAAAACGATCTAGCCATGTCTGTCCATCTGGCTGTTGAAAGCACGAAATACGAGTATATCTACAGACAGAGAAAAAAATATACAATTGACACCAAATTTTTCAATAACATCCGTTGTCAAGTATATACATTAGACCGACACACTCTGTATGGAAAGCAAAATTTACCTTGCTTTGTTTTATGATGATTCCCAAAATATTTTAAGTCTAGCGATGGCCGTTCGTGAGCTGGACCAAATTAGAAAAAGGTATTTTTCAATTATTTTATTTAAATTTTAGTTTTGTTTTGAAACAATATATGTGGTATCGTTTGAAAGGGATTTTAAAGCCGCATTCAATGATGCATTAATCATAAATAACCGTCTGCTCATAATTGTCATATTCCAAAAAATTAAAATTTAGAAAAAACTGTAAAATTTAAAAAATTAACTAAAAAGGGCCTTTTTTGTAACCGGTCAAGCTCACGAACGGCCATCGATAGACTAGAAATATTTTGGGAACCATCATAAAACAAAACAAAAATTTTTTGATGCTGGGTAAAATTTTGAATTGAACATGAAAAATCATGTTCCCCATATGATATTTTCTTGAAAACTGTCCAACTGACGAACGGACAACACTAAACCCAAAATATTTTGGGTAACATCATATTACATAACAGCGAATATATTGAGGGGGGTAACTCAAGCACCATTTTTTGTGAGTCGGTCTAATATACATACATACAACAACAACATTTAATGTTGTCCACTCAACGTTGTCAATATTGCAACAATTCGTTGTCGCAATCTAAATTGTATGCACATCCCTTGTTTCTATTTCTGATTACTAAAAAAATGCCTGACAACTAGACTTAATTTCCAATCCATTGATATATAAAATGTCTACCGTGTCGTTTCACATGTAAAACTAAGGAGGAAGTAGTTAATATCTCATGGTAAAATTGCAAAATAAAATTGTTACAGCAAAAATGAAATAATACGCAAACGTCACGTATCTAACACAATGATGAAAAAAACAAAAGGAGGCAATTTTACCTTGTGATGTTAAATGTTTCCTAATTAGTTTTACATGTGAAACGGACAAGGTAGACATTTTATATATCAATTATTTATATCAAAATAAAGCCTCCTTCGCAAATATAATCAGAGAAGAAGTATTATAATATAACTATATGTTCAGAAGAGATTATAAACGAAATTCAGGATTGGAGAGTTTCGAACGAGCGTTCCTTTTCTGACCATCGGTACATAAGATTCGAGGACAGCCACCCACTGCGAGAGCGGAGGTCTGCCCAACAGAAACCCTGGGTAACTGGGGAGATCCGAAACCATGGGAAGACTCTTCGCAAACTAATTAACCGGGCACGGCGTAAATAGACAGCAGTATACTGGGATGAGTATCGAAATGACGTATCGAAGATAAAACAATTCCTATCCAAAACTCCAACCGGAATCCATGATCGATGACACGGGGAGGAGGATATAAAGCAGACAATGAAACTCCTAATGGATTCTCATTTCCCACCCGCTGTATCGAATAACATAGATGAACTGATATTGGAGGAAGGAGAGCCTAATATCAAAATAGTTATTACATCTGACATGGTTAAAGGGGCATCAAGAGCTTTGCTCCCTATAAATCCTTCGATAGCAAACTATATATAGTACACTGGCGGTATGCATTGACATCGAAGATGCCTTCAATAACGTGCACACTGATACTCTTATCCAATGCCTAGACCAGTTTTATGTTGACCGGGTGCTCCGCAACTGGATCAACTACATGCTAAGGAACAGATATAAGCTGCGAGATGTCGATATAACTATCAGGAAAAAGGTATTTCGCGGTATACCACAGGGTGGCATTTTGTCATCTTTACTCTGGGTAACCACGATTAATACCCTCTTAAGGACCCTAACCGAGAAAGAAAATAGATGCAGACGATGTCGTAATACTTTTAAAGGGAAAGGATACAAATTACTTGTGTAGAAGAGCTAAGGAGGCTCTGAATACGGCCTTAAGCTGGGCACAACCAAGAGGCCTCAATGTTAACCCGGCGAAGACGGAAATCCGTGCTTTCACAAGAAAGACAAAAATTTCTACGTGTACTGAACCTTGCTTCCTGAGCAATAAGATACCGGTGACAGACAAAGTTAAGTACATAGGTGTATTCCTTGAATGGAAATTAAAATGGAGACACCACATAGAGGATAGCTGGGCGATATGTAGGAGAACTATAAGCATGAAATGAGGTCTTAGTCCTACTATGACAAATTGGCTTTATAAAAGAGTAATTAGACAAATTCTAGCTTATGCTTCAATAATCTGGTGGACTGCTTTGTACAAAAAGTGTAATATTAAACTATTACAGGGAGTTCAGCGTACATGCTGCTTGGGTATAAGTGGTGCCATGTGTACTACTTCAACCAAGGCTCTGGAAACGTTGCTAGATATTCCACCCATTGAAATATATTTAAGATATGAGGCGGCGCTTTCAGCCGAACGGATCTTTACTTTAGGCGAACTGGCCAAAAGCGGTTATAGGACACGTCATCAGTGTATACTGAACACATTGGAAGGTTATACACAATCATCGTGCCCGATCGCATACCAGACACAGAATATGTCGGAAACTTTGAAACGCTGATCCCAGATAGAATGTCTTGGTCAACCGGAACATTAGAGCAAATACCACTAAGAATCCGTTGTTACACGGATGGTTCTAAATTAGGGGACAAAGTGGGTCTGGTGTTCTATATTGAAGATCCAGAAAGAGAAATGTACCACCTATTACCTAATCATAACACAAGCTTACTGGCAGAAGTTCGATCAATAGCGGAATGTGTAAATTGTATAAGAATGAATGTGGCGCCCATAGGGCTTAATATATTTACCGACAGCCAGAAGGCAATTAGGGCGATATCTGGTGATATAATTAAATCTAAGACCGTATTGGATTGTAAGAAGCTTTAACTGAATATTCTCCCAGAGGTAAGGCGTGCATCATATATGTACTAGGCCACTCGGGAGTAGTCTGCAACGAAAGGTCGAATGTAATAGCTTTAAAGGAAAGGGAGCTCGAGGTAGTTAACCTGACAAACGCAAAACCATTCGACGCAACAAAATCCTATGTGTCTGAGTGGACACATAGGATTGCGAGCACATCTATACAAAATTGGACGTTTGGATTCAGACGAATGTAGAGCTAGTAGAGAACACAGTGAAACTCTGGAGCACTTTTTTTGCCACTGTAAGGCATTCGTCCGACATTCGGATTTAGACGAATATAGAGCTAGTGGAGAACACAGTGAAACTCTGGAGCACTTTTTTTGCCACTGTCAGGCATTCGTCCAAGTTAGATTCAAGCATATTTGAAGTGATATTATTCCGGAACTAACATTTCTGACTGGTTAGAAAACTCTTAGGAATTACGTCCAGGAAACTGAGTTTCTGAACATTGAAAAATAATACATGCAGTGATTTTTTTGTTTTTTTTTTTTTCATGAAAAGGAGCGAACAACAGA